TCGTGTTTTGATATTACCGACAAAAAGTTAGTTTTTGTTTTAAATAAAAATTTTCATTTTCCCCTCTACTTCTATCTTTTGTTTTATGCAACATTGCCGTTTTCCAACCAACTGCGGCTAGTAGGTAGAGTGTCCCAGAAATGCAGCCTCGCGATTTCGAGTAAGAGATATTTATATTTTCCGTTTATTATTAGAAACGCCGCCGAGACTCGAAAATATGCTGCTCAAATCCGACAGTAACATAATTTTTTACTAAGTGGATTACACGGAAATGTCAGATTTGAATTTTTATAGAAACAATCGGAAACAATTTATATTATACTTGGATACTATTTTCCGAAACGTATCTTTAGGAAGTTAGTATTACCACTTGCCAATTTTGTATACTTGATTTGTACAGTAATTGTTGTTTTTTACCGTTGAAGAAAAAATGTATCTAACGGTGGCTTTAAAATAAATATGCCTTATATTGGTAGTTTATGCATGAAAGTATTTCCGTAAAAAACCAGGCCATAAAGGGCTACTTAAATAAAAATTATAAATTAAACGCCTAAAATTGTACTATCTAAATATTTTTTATGTGGTCTTTATGAAATTTGTAGTATTATGCGAGTATTTTTCTTATGTAAGTTTTCAAGTACACCATGCCATTTTTTACGGTTCTCGGTAAAGCGGGGCTCGAAGAATATTTTAAGATATTTATGTAAATGAGCAGAAAAACAAATATTTGAAATATTCTAGCGGCCAAACGAAACATACAATATACAAAAAACGCTTGTAATGACTTTTTTTTCATCAATTGACATTTGAATGAAAATTAAATTTTCAGTTGATTTTACGGGACGCACGGAATACAAAGTGCTAGATTTGTACCCCAATAAGTTGCAATAGGTCCGTTAATATGGCGTAATTTAATTGACACCACTTAAAATGGCAATTAAAATGGTTAAATTTTGTTGAATTGACTTTCGCCACGCTCCATTAAATACGTGGTATTATTGGAGGTTATTAAACTCGACGAAAATACTTAGAACACGATAGAATAAAGGTTCAAGGTTTCGGATTATGTACCTCACACCCTCGTTCGTATCTATTTTTCAATAAGATTGACGCAAGAGGTTATATTAGATAAGGTTTAATTTAATACAACGCTGATTTCAAGAGATTTGATACAAAAGAGCTGAACATATTGTTCTGGAATAACCAACTAACCAAAACTAATGAATGTAATAATATAAAAGAAAAAGCGGTGTTGATAAGCCCCTTCCTCCGAACATTAGTACACATTATTTCATTTTCCGCACTGGCAATGTAATTCGATTACTTCTATCTATTCCATCCTTAACAGTTTTTATATAGTTTAATTATTATCTTTTTTACTACAAGTAATAACTTCAACAAAGTGTTTATTGGAGTTACTTTTTCGAAGATACGGAACCACCAGAATTTCAGGGCGATCCTGTGTCGTTTTTCAAAAGGGATCACACATGTACTTCCATTATATGAAAATTGAGACCCATGTGTAAATAAATTTATGACCGGAATATTGACAGATGTTGCCAGTGAAAGTTTGGTCTCGCGTAAAATAAGTTTGAAGTATGGATTTTATAGATAAAAATATTTTTTTACTTCCGTCTGTAAAATACTAATTACACACCGATCTAGCGTGTAGGAAGCGTCACTTTACCACGTCAGTTTCGTTTTCCACAAAAGCGAGCCACTTCGGACATTTCCGGAATTTTACAACATAGGTTTAGGAGCAATCGGATGTTCCGCAGTGAGTGTTTTCGTGTTTTTTTACAAAAATGTACACGTTTATTAAGCTCGTGAGTCCAATGCCGTTTACCGCAGTTGTTGCATAATATATTATTTTTGGCAAGTTAATCTCGGTTTATGTAATTTGACAGCTACTCAACCGTTGCATGCCAGCGAGCTTGCCAGTCACCCGCTTCGAAAATGAGAGAGAGATGTGTTTAGGATTCAACGTTGCAATAAACTTATATCTCAAACGCAAAAGCTTCCGATCTCGACAACTGGTTTAAACTTGCAGTTTATACGTTCAGTGTTACCTACCGCAAACTGAAAAGACTAAGCCCTGCGCCTAACCCTTAGGTATGGGCTGATAAAAGCTTTCAGGTCGATTTAGGTAGTTTGTCCATTGTTATCGGTTCGAAATTAATGGCCATAAATACAAGAAATTAAATAAAAAGAAATTAAATATCCTATTTTAACTGTATATTATCCAAAAAGTGTGGAGCGAGTGTTTAATAAGCGAATGACTTAAAAAGTTTACGAAACGTGTTGCATACTATACTTTTTCAAAGACCGTTAGCTTTTGGGTACATGTTTGCAAAAAAAACAAGAATACATTCACTACCGCCTTGCGGTAAAATCTCCGAAAACATTCTCCCAAACCCGTGCAGTAATATTCCGGAAATATTCGAAGTGGCTCGGATCCGTGGAACAAGAAACTTCCGTGGTAAAGTGACGCTTCCCACATGCTAGATCGGTGTATAATTGGGTATTTTATAGAAGGAAGTAGAAAAAATCTATTATAGCGTTAAATGTTTGTGGATAATATATCTACAAGGCATCAGGAAATGTTTTAACACGCATTTTCTTCTCTATTAAATTAAATAAATACAATCACAGAATAAATTATACAACTTTTGCATTTACCATTTTTTGATGTAACCTAACAATAATATTCTCGATAATCTGCTTCATTAATGATAGCCCCCATTATCCATAACCACTATTGTATTAGTCGGTAGATGTTTTACTATTTCACCAAAGACGCCTTCGAAAACATCTTCATTTACGTCTTCATATGATAATTTCAGGGAGCGATGAGTCAAATACTAATAAATCCTCTTTTGGAATATAATAATAACAATAATAATAATAATAATGTTGATTCAAAACATACGCTTCTTACCAAGGGCACAAGAACACATCCAAGCAAGTATCAAACAAATAAAAGAAAAAACAGTAACAAATATTTTATTTTATTTCATTTATAATTTTCTTAAATTTATATATTTTTCTAATATCCAAGCTTCAGGTTTATGCGAGGTTTTATGTTTTTATGATACTTTCGGGCAGCTTTCAGCGACTTTTCGCCAACTGTTATTGAATTTTCTAGTTTCACTATGTGGATTTTTTTAGTTTTATTTCGAGAATGCCTTTTTCATATATTTTAGAATTTCAAAGCAAGCAAAGCAATACAATATATTGATTTTCTTCATACAGAAACAAACTTAGCTATTGCATAAGGCTTGTTCCTGTTGTAAATAATTTTGCAGAGTTTTTATAGATTTTACGTGATTATCAGAATTGAAGAAGACTATAGCCAAGTTACAGTGAGAACAGAGTGCGGAGTCTTATGTAGCGCATCGTAGCCAGCAGTACATCGCTGGTGTCGGGCAACAATCAGGTCCTGTCTCAAACAAATTTCACCGCTCGTGTCCCAATTTTATCTCAAAATTTTTACTTTACTTATTTTTTTTTCTTGGTCGAGATCGGAAAATTTACGCTAATAATAAGTTCATGCACGTTGTCTTGGAGATTATCAGATTATCATTTGAGGATTGCTGTGCCGCTTTTGTATTATTTTATTTGTCACTCAATTACAAATATATTTCTTTTTTTAACACCGAAATTTAATTACACTCTTAAATACCTCGTTAAAATACGAATCCAAAGATATATGATATATAAATATCTATATAACTGTCTCTAATGCACCATTATTAGCGAATAACTGCGGGATTCAGGTTATGTTGGAATGTTAACTTGTCAAAGATTATGCTGCGTAACATATTTTACAAAATAATATTTTTTCTCAGACAATATTCATCAAAATTTTAATATTTTTATCAAATTCGCGGTTGCGATGGTTCGCAAAATTTTACTTTTCTTACTCTTTTTATCAAACACACTGTATATTTGTGCATTTTCGGATAGTTCATTAAAAGACAAATCCGACGACGTATATGAATTATTACATTTAACCTGAATTCTGAATGGGTCTCTAATATTTTTTTAAAAAGAAATTACTGTATCTATTAATTAATAATTAAAAATTATTCGTTATTTCATTTTTAAAACACTGACAATTTGACAAAATCTTTCCAAAATAAAATTAATGATTTTATGTACAAAATTTCCACATTTCCATTATTCAAAATGTTGCATTTTGAATAATGGAAATGATTTATGGAATTTAATATAAAATTGTTGTAATGCAAAAACTTCTATGAGCTTATATTTATATGCTACTTTTTAAAGAGCATCACAAAAAAAAGTCCAGTGGGTTTAAATCCGCACTCCTTGCTGGACACAAAATGTGCCATTTTGCTCAATTCATTTTCTAAAATTTCTATTTAAAAATTCACTGATATTTAGAACTACGATGATAAGTAGCGACATCTTTAAATTATTAAATTTGGATGTTCTATTTCACGAATAGTATTCCGAATAAGAGGCTCAATATATTTCTTCATAAATCTAAAAATCGTACTGCTGTTTTTATAGATGTTATCTGAAAAATGTCTATCCATCATCAAATTACAAAACTTTAACCATAAATTCAAATCCGCTGGTGGAAAGAATGACTTTTTCTTTCACTCATAAAGAATTATTAAAGCTTGTTCTCATTGGAATGAATATCGTTATTACTGTTGACATTATCGATTAACAAAACATATAATGGTTTTTAATATACCAAATTCATTAAGGTACATGGCTTTATGGGTTAATTTCCTACCTACCCCATAGACGACCCTTAAATTGGCCGTTCTGCACGAAATCCCTCGTTTTATTACTTCGCGACATTTAGAAACACATGATAACCTCCAATAAAGTTTTTTCAATAATCTAACAGAACAGTCGTGATACGAGGGGTGCTCCGAAAGTAACTGCTCCCCAAATCAGCCGAAACCAACTGATCAATGACGTGTTCCCGACAAAAAAAACCCTTACGCCAATCGAGAACGAACCTGATCGTCGTGCAGATTGCAATTGACGTTCTTCCACGAACCCGCAGGCACCGTGCAATTGCATCCCGGGACGTCACACAACGTGTATCCCTTACGGGTCGCCGCCGATAATCCAAACACGGCCAGCACTGTCACCCATAGAAGCACCGCAAAAAATAATCTCGCACTCATGTCGTCGGCGTTCGCATGGCACCCCGACGGATGGATCACGTGCGCGCGGAGGTTTCGGACCCCGTGGACCTCATCGGTTTAATAAACATTGCGCGCGCTGCCCGCATGCGTCGATGATTCAGTTGCCTCGCGTGAAAGTACGATGCCGTTCCGTACGAAGGACCGTTTTAGACTGATGCTGTCTAATCTATCGGGTGCTGTTGTGTTGCCTTCGGCCTGCATGGTCTTGCCCGAGTGTGTTTTCGTCGAGCAGCGGCGGAGGTTATCAGCTGCTCGATTCCGGATGTAAAAATAAACGTCGAACCGTTTCATTCTCGATTTTTTTCATTCATAGCTACGACGCTCCGTGGGCACTCGTTATAGATCTACAGGACCATTCCTAAGTTAATTGTGACTGTGCGTGGGGTCATAAATATACAAACAAGGATCAGTTAATCAGTTATTAAGAAAAGAACAATGTTAATAATAATAACAATGACAATAATAATACTTTTTTTTATGCAGACAATTTTTTTAACAATTCGTATAGGAATTGTCAAATAAAAAAAGTTTACAATGACAAGTACAGACCAAATGGATAGAGACAAAAAAATATAATCACATAATCACAAGGTTATGTAAAAAAAAAATTAAAATAAAAATAAAATAATTTATTGCCCAAACATGTATAAACATAAACGAAACATGCAACGTATATAACAAACAGTTTCCGCACACGCAATGTAGAATTTATGTAGCTCCCAAAGTTACATCGAAAAAAATATTTGTAGTTATAAAAGCATTTCTCGGTTAAAATGTATTTTATAATTTTTTTAAATTGATTGGGGGAACAGTTGTTTTTGAGAGTTGCTGGTATTTTGTTATACACGATTGGTTCCCTATCATCCAGATCATTTTTAGGTGTGGTATCATACATGTGAAAGTCGGAACTCGTTACTTTTTATTTTCATGCTGATAGATGAAAATTGAAGGCACGGTTAGTATTTTCATATTTTCAAATAGTGACTTACGGCGATCCTTACTTTATGCACCACACAAAGTTCGAACAATCTTTTTTTGAATTTTTAAAATTCTATGTGTCTCTGAAGAGTCTCCCCACAACAAATTACTATATGATATCACGTTAATGAAGTTACTAAAATAAAACGCTAAAGCTCAACAGTTGAAGTTGAAGTTGAAAGTTGAATAAGTTTTCGAATCTGAAATGTAACTTTGTTCAATCTACCGGCCAGCATATCTATATGTACGTACCGGTTAAGTCCTACCATTTATGTCACACCCAGAAGTTTAGCATTAACTTCTGATTTATTGTGATTCAATTTAAGACCATTCGAAACCACGCTTTTGCATCAACAATCGCCAGAGTACTTGCAGATAATGCGTCACTTAAATTTCTATCCAAATTGTTGTGTCATCTGCATATAAAGAAACTACATGTGACTTATGTTCGAGGCTAAGTCGTTAATGTATATTAGGAAAAAAATTGAACGCACGCATCCCAAGCCAAACAAATTATGGTTCAAAAACATGTTAAGCTAACATTTTGACGTTTTATACCGTAAAATCCAAATTTATTTATAAGAAACTCGTGGTTAATGCAATGAAAAACCTTCGAAAGATCCAACAAGATCATACAGGGAATAACCTAACCATCAATAGCCTCCAAAACCTTTTCCAGAATCGCTATAATACGGTACCCAAACTGACTCTCTACAAAAACTGTATTGTTATCAAAATTCAATTATTTATTTTACCAAAGCATCAAAGATTTTGGAAAATACTGGCGGGTCAGCAATACGACGAAAATTGTCTGCAATCTCGCTATTAGAATGTTTCACTGTGGGAACTATTGTTGCAAACTTTAACGAGTCAGGAATAAAAGTTGTTTTCAGGAAGACGATTAACGCCCTAGTATACAGGGTGATCTAGACGAAATTTTATATTTGACAAAAGGTATATGAATTTTGTTTTGATGTTTGGTGTTTTGAGTAAAGTTGTTTTTATTTTCGAATACAAATACAAATAAAAGTTTGTTCATATTTAAACTGGGTATATCAGCTTAAATATGAACAAACTTTTATTTACTAAATAAATTCCTACACTAACTTGTTCTTTTCTGTGCTAAAAACACTTCTGTCGATTGTGTAGATCATCCCCACAGTATTATTCCGTATCGCAGAAGAGATTCAATGCGAGAATAATACATTTTGCATTGGACATTGGAAGTGTCATCAGCATGTAGGGTAAAATATGAATTTGTAGAAATGGTTTCTATATCATATATAGAGTGTAAATAGCACAGGACCCAAAATCGATCCAAAATAAATAAGAACTAAAAGTTGATGTTTGATTTGATAAAGACACGGTGTTGTCGAAACAATTGTCATGTCAAAATATATAATTTCGTGAAAATCTGAACTTTTAGTTCTTATTTATTTTGATAAATGGATTTTCATCAAGTAAAAGGCACCTCAGTTCAAAATCGATTCCTGTGGAACACCTACAGACGAATTAATGTGACGGCAAAGATCTTTTCCACTAAAAACACTGTCCCTGCAGTGCACAGTCAAAGGCTCTACTGAAAGCACAAAAGATTCCGACAGGGCACTCTCCCGGTGTCACTGCCATAATATATGAGGTTCTACCGCAAAAACCAAATTAGTTCAAAAAAAGCATAAGTATAAGAAATGCATACTCATGCACTTACTATTTTCCTTTTGTATATCGGAACTACTTCGCTCTTTTTAAAGTGCTAAGGAAATTGGCCCGAACAAAACGATAAATGTATGTCAGCGGTTTTATGATGTATATTAAGCTATTTCTGATTCTATTTCTCTTGTTTTTTATTTTCGTCTTTGATTCTCTGGAATTGTAATTATGCTTCTGTTAGATTTGTTTAAAAATTAGGGTTATGTGCTGAAAAGTAATTCAGGCAGTTAGAAACCAAAACGCTTTATCTATTCTTTGTGTCAACTGTCACTGTCGGACATTCTGCAATGTTCAATTTGTTTCTTATTGCTGTGAATATGGAGCGAGCAAAAGAATAATAAAACAGCACAAGGTACTTTCGTAACTAAAACAAAAAACATATATTTATTCATAACGTGTTCATTAAGATCTAAGTGAATTTACGGGTGTCAGCTATCCATTATTAGATATTTTTTTTAATAGTTGGGAACTTCCAATACAACCTTCATTTTACAAAATATAAAAACCTATAGCTTTGAGCCTAAACACAATAAATAAACTATTTCCTATAAAACATAATGTAACAACAATGAGCGATGAATAATAAAAATAATTATTAAATTTAGGGGCAAAAGCACAAGGAAAGGTAAAAGTAAATAAATCAAAGAACACTAAATGTAAAATTGAAGAGATAGAATTGGGCACGCGCCAACTGATAAATACAAAAAAGTTCGAATTTTTCTTCGCAATTAATAGAACGGTCCTACAACTGCATTCGAAATTCGAAAAATATAGATTGTTGTATTTCACAAACTACTGGAGAGCGGTACCCTTCGATATCTTCGGGAAACATTTGTACTTTGGTCTGCAACTTACTACCGCTTTTGAAAGCTCTTTGTCGTGTTGTGGAACCCAAAATATTCAATCCAATGCCTCGACGTAAAATATTATGCCATTCAGTTTAAGAATTATCTTAATAAATAGCATTAGTGTCTAATTAATACAAAATTTTATAGAGTGCATGTCGTAGATTGTATAATATTACATTATATTATAATATCTTAACTCATTAAAAATATCGTATAGTATTATTAGAATTATATCGAATTTTGTAAATTAATGTAAATTTGGTATGCGAAATTTTTCTTTTGTGTTTGAAATAAAACACTATTCCTTTTTCGTTTTTCTTCTTATTATTTCTATTTTTTACAACATACCCAACTGTTTTTTAATGCATGGCGATACACAGAAAATGGAATAATTGAATTCCTTTTAAGGTTGCTTTTTAAATACTTTTTAAAATATAACTTACATTAACGTATTGATTAGGCTGTATTTGTTCAAATGGCCCCTAGTTCTGGTGTTGGAGCAACTGAGGAAAATATTATTCCAATTGCCAATGTTGTTTTAAGATTCCTAATTGATAAAAAGCAAGAATCTTGTAAGAATCGATTTGAAAAAAAAAACAATCAATCTTTGTACAAAAGTCTAATTTATTCTCCTCTGTCTGTCGCTTGCAAGCATACCTTTTTAAATCATCCGCTCACGTCATCGGTGACCTTACTCTCTTACTCTTTCTTTTATTTTGCCGAGGTCTCCAGTTTATAATACTTTTGTTTATTTTACTTCCTTTCATTTTCGTTTTATTTCTTATATATGACTTAGACGAATCCAAATCATGTCCGCAAATATAGCTCCAAAATAATAGATGGGAAAGATGTCCGCAAATCGAAACCATTGAGATTATTTAAGATTACCTCAAACGGAAGTGCTATTAAAAACGGAAATCATAAAAGCAGAAAGCACAGTTTATAATTTCCTCTTTTGGAGTTTTATGATTGTTACGAACATATGAAAACGTTCTTTGAAAAAGCGAGTTAAGAAGGTGGGACAGTTGCTTTAGGGTTAAATTCACTTTGATAATAATCTATATCCCTATAATTTGTGTGATACTGATATCTTTCTACGTATACTACATACAAATGGAGGGCTTGAGTACCCATGTTTTTTAGATGCCACTGTGGCATACCCAAATCAATGTTGAAAGGACAAAAAGCACAGACAAATACGTAGAATAAGAAAATAATAAAAATTTAAATTTCATCACTTGACAAATAAGTATCGGTGCTCACATTATCAGCTTAATAATTAGACACTAATAATTTAATATTTATTTACTGCGGACACTGAAATTTGTGTTTCCTTTTTTAGTGTGCTTCAATGACTTTTTATAGTCTGCAGGGATAATAAAAGTTTGTAGTTAAAAACGAGAAGTTGTTTCTTAGGGGAGAGGTTATCACGGTTTTAAGACCCTAATGAAATATCAATCAATCAATCAATCAATCTATCAATGGGTTTGAATGCACAATAAAACATGTCATTTAAAATTGATAACATAAAAATAATCTAAAGAAAATTCACAAAAAAAAAACAAGCCGAAACGGACAACATTGGGTCTTGCAATATTATCCTCCGTACCGCCGCCTA